CAAGGTCTGAACAAAGTCCATCCCATCGCAAGTGTGTGTCACTCATGGCGAATAAGTATTTTCCTCTTATTCTCAAAGTCTCCACATTTGCCTCGCAGGGAAAGAGTAAAGTCTCAACTCCAAAAAGGCTAGATACAATAAACTATGTTTTAATATTCTACGAACTCCACACGCATCCATGTACATCAGCATACATGTGTAAATGTATCTGTGTAGCTTTTCCATGTCTCTTAGGTTCTGAAAGTCACGATACCTCTCAAAAATGAAAGTAAAAGTTGCGAAAAACGTGTACTTGAAAAAAAACCAAAAAAAACGTGTGATGACCCTAAATACGACGTCAAAATACATCACAGATTCGTCGTGGATGTCAGGGTGACAGGGTGTAGTCAGTACTATACAGCTGGATAAATCTACGTACACAGGACCATTAATATATGAGTTAAAGATTCGCTCTGCATCCCGAGTAGAAAGGGGGGTATTGTTAAAAAACATGTCACTAGATGTGTCACATACATTTAGTTAACCACAGTGCATGTTCGCCACAAATCTGCAATAAACCAGCTGTACACACATGAATCATGAGTTAACTACGTGTATCTGTTCGGGTATAAGTGACGGCGTGTAGAAATAAGTGTAATAGATTAGTGTCGACCTGGTTAAGGCCCACAACGTCTCGGCTAAGTGTCAGGTTATCCGTGTGGCCCGCTGTAATCCACGCTACAAGAGTGGAGGTATTCGCATACATGGTGACACACTAGGCCGTGTCCCTGATTAAAGGATAAGATAATCCTGTTGATAAACTCGACCCTTCAGGGACACGCAAATGTACATTGTAATTGATTTTAATACAGTCGAAACAAAACGTAATATCTTGTTAGACGGCGACACACCTATATAATATGTGCATGTAAAAAAAGTGTCAATATTTTATCAGAATCTAAAGCTCACGTGTGAAATATAATCCCCTGATAATGTGATTTCTGGATGTTTTTTCAATTTGAAAAAAGCAACATTCTAAGATAATTCCACTTGAAACATTTATGAAACATTATTATTCGGTTTGTAGAAACGAAACACCCAACTCGTACATATCTAATACAGATCTAGCAGACGACATTTTGACTCGCGGTACTATACCAGCGTTTGTCTGTAAGGTCCACTTAAAACAACACATATTTACAATCTTTACCCCGCATGCTGAAATGTCCCTTAATACGATCAAACGTCTATTGTGACTTACCTTACAGTCTGTCCACACACAAGTGGTCGCGTTTCACCAACACACACACGCATATATCCCCTGACTCAGTGAAGCGAAGCGCGTAACTCGGTATAAGTGTCACGGACCCAGTCTAGCATGTCATTCATTCAGATGCAGTTTTCCGGTCGACACCGAGTGAGTACAACTAGAATTCACAGCTGGATGCCACTGTCCGGTTTTTAAACAACAACGTCGTTTACGAACACTCACCTGTCAAGGCAATAACTACTTGATACAGCGACAATGCTGGTCTGTTCGAGATTGACGCAGAACACACACCCTTGCCGCCATGGCCCCTGACATGCACACACTACTGATGCACAGTTGATGTGTAACTAATATACCACGCTCGTCGTTACTGACTCTAGACGCATGGAAACAATCCGATCCAGCCTTCTCTTGTTCAGGGACAGTTCATCTATTATATTCTAGTCCTGTGACGTCAGTCATCTCAGCTAAACAAACCTATATAAGAAACACTATAGCTGTTGTGTAACGTGTTCAGGGAATCAAGACACAACGAAACACGTTTCTTGATTATGTAAACAAGGTCGGTGCAAGACACACAGTGAAATCCAGAAAGTGGTCAAATGTAACAAATGTCATATTTGGGATAACACTTTCTGAGTCAAGTACAGATTCGAGTACTTTTTTGGGTTGAGTCCCGTCCGGGATTCGAACCCACACTGCCAGAATGAGGCACCTAATCGCCAGCACACACATTCAGCGATCTAACCCATTCAACCACCGAGGCTTCCATATAAGTATAATTCCGACAACTTGTAGTCTAGATCACGTACTTTGTCCGCACCATACCCGTGCTCGTGTGTTTCACCAAAGTGGTAAACGTCTGAGACCTGCATCACTTCGGGCTTTCCTCCCACATCAAGCTGACACGCCACGATGTAATTGACATACTGTTATAAAAACCCAACTCACTCACAAATATAAAGTATATATAATGTATAGATATAACAGTATTTATATCGGATTCCCTGCCGTCCCCACAGCGTTAAACGAAGTGTCTCCCTGCTACATACAGTGTAACAGATCACAGTGGTTCCTGCCCAGTTGAAACAAGTTAAAGTACATGCAAACTAAACGTGTTCCAGAGGATATAAACAAGCTCGTCTCCTCACATCACTCCACCGTGTATACAGCACAGGGTCGCCCATGCCATGTGCACCTCCGGCAGCAATGTGCAACATCTATAATTACATTTTGCACCACGTTGACAGATGCAGTCATCAAACACACGCGACACCAACGGGTAACATCGGCGGCTAGTGCAGGCTGGAGAGGAGGGTCTCATGAAGTAAAGTCCAACGAAGCTGGAAACACGTTGTGACGGCTTGAAATAGTGGAAATTAAAAGGTAATATTTTGCCTTTCTGTGAATTGAAATCAAGGCAAATTTGAGAAAGTAAATAGGTCCTCAAACCTTTTCAGCTTCATCAATACCTCGTCCAAGAAGTCCTACATCCAGTTACAGCTTCAGCAGCCAGTGTAAAATTCGACCGAGAGTCGTTGCGAAAAATATATACCAATGATGAATTCAGTGGTATAATCCTTGACTGCATTAGAATTCGAGACTGACATGGGATGAATCTAACCGATATATTTGTTCGCATGCGTGCGTGTATCTCCAACATGTTCAAGAGCTTCAGGCTCAATACGGGGGCACGGGTGGCCCAGTCGTCTAAGGCGCCGCGATTCGCTGCGCAGAGTTGCGTCCCTTGGGCACGACAGGGGTTCGAATCCCGGTTCGCCCGGATTATGTTTCTAGGTTTGTCAGCACCATACCCGTGCTCGTGGGTTTCACCGAAGTGATAAACGTCTGAGACCTGCATCACTTCGGGCTTTCCTCCCACATTAAGCTGACACGCCGTGATATAACTGGAATACTGTCAAAAGCGGCGTTAAACACAACTCACTCACTCAGTTTAAGCGTTGGTCCGCCACAGCGATTCCGGTGCACAAACGGCTACAAGCTGCCGACCGCATTGCTCTACTCCGGTTACTATATTCTCCGACATTTCCCCCGTCTTATCATAGTGATTGTCTGAATTGTGCCACCAGTTCCAATGCGTGTCGTTGCTCACGTTATCCGTCACTGGTTTGCTTGGTCCAGATTCGAACACAAGCAGGTCGTTGTGACATGCGCGTAAGAATAACAGTTATGAAACGAGAACATTGTCAGGAAAACGTAGCCCTGTCTGGAGCAGACAAACCAGTGACCCGCGTAAAGCTTGGTTCGATTCTTACGATGGTCTCAGGTATAGCCCGCAGTTGTTACAGCATCTTAGACCACGTGTCCCGTCGGCAGTCGTGGCCACTCGATCACAACCCTTCTGTACGTGAAATAGCACAGAGTGAAACAAGGCTCGCTACTCCGGACCGAGATGAGAATATTTAGACGTCATTTTTAGCGTTGTTAACACGCGAATCTTGACTCCAAGCAAAGTTTAGAGGGTGCATGTACCCATGCTGTTTATCATAATAGAATGGAGGTATATCTCTTAATACATCGGATAAGTGAGGAGGAGTGTTCTGAAGAAAACAAATTTACAGGAACACTTTTCAAATTTGACGTAATGTCTACCTTCGTCGTGAATCATGTTTGAGATTATAGTGCTAGCTTCTAATGCTGGTGTTAAAGTTAATGTTTAATCAACCTGGGCCTCGTCACATAGGACGATCTGCGAGCAAAGACTGGCTTAATCTTTCTGCATGAGGTCGTACCTCGGGTCATACATGGCAATTGCCCTAATATGCACTCCCCAAATAGCGTTTGACGTACACCGTGCAGCCAATGCACCCGCATCACGAAGCGATGGATAACACTACCCAACACACACTCTATAACACAGTCGCTAATACCTGATGGAGCTAAGTCACAATCCTACTGGTTTGGACTGCAGATGCCGACAGCATAGTACACCATTTAAGGTATATGTATAGTGACAAGTACGTGCATGCATATGTCATCCATGAATCTGTATATTCGAGGTACATTGCGACGTGGCAGGCATGACGCAGTTACCTATACCCTGCCGGTAAGTATCCATGTGTATTCTAAAACGTATTACGTACTGGACAGACATAGCATCACGTGTTCAGACGTGCCGAGGTGACACATGAGTGGATATGTCATCCATTGAAGACACGACCTAACCAGCCATTCTGAAATATCCCTGAATGACACATACGTGTACACAACAATAAACTGGGAATGACGGGGGCGTGCGAGCCGCGGCGCATTTTACAAATAACACCGCAAACTTCATCCAACGACTTCGGGCAGACTGGAAGTCAAGCTTGATTCTCGCCATTCAAATTTTCAAAAACCATTTTGTTTATCTAGTAATTAATATTTTAGGATGTTATTATGACACTGAGACAGGTCTATCGACTGGGATTGACAGCAGGCCCGTATAGCAGTGCTTCCCTTTCAGCTCTATAAAACACCTATAGGCTTGATTTACTGAATGTATTACAAGTTGAACCAGAGAGAAAAAATAAATATGGGACAGAGTCAGAAGAAATGCTGCCCTAAACCCCAAAAATTTTTTGGACAATTTTATCAGATGGCAAGAATTACAATACGATCCCCATACCTAAGCCTGAAGTCCCAACACACACCCTATACGTAGTCTCTAAGTCGGCAGTGACAAGACGAGAATGGGCATGACCATATAAAACTTAAAATATCCACACAAAAGGTTATGTTTCCAACATACCTGTGCGGTGTAAGATCCCAGAATTCCGAATGGCCACTCCTTGTAACCCAGGGAGTCTATCCCTTGTGTCTACGGTCTACAACTGTCGTTGTCTAACTGTCGCTCGCCCTCACTACATCTGCGTCCAGCTCTCCAGGAGGGGAGGCAGTGTTTTCACAGCACGTAACTCCTGCCGCTATCCCTGAACGCAGATAATCCCCCGCCAGTCGAGCTAATCACAACGCTGTAACAACTTGTGGCAAACTTCACTCACGAGTTGATAAAAAACAACATACAAACTAATGATGTCACGGTCACGTGGAGGAGAACATGTTTAATTCACCATGTGGGGGCAATAGGAGGTAAAAGATAGTTGCGTTTTGGCGAACAGTCCAGTGAATCATAATTTGTCCGTTCAGCGTCTTTCTGGATGTGGTGGAAATGTCAAGAACGTGAGGATTATAAGATACATGACACTCAGTGAGTGAATGGTGCAACCTGTTACATCATGTCTTTGGTATACATGAACCAGTGGTCGACAGCGTGAGCAACGATCCACGTTACAGGGGTAAGATGACACACATGCAGCTGTGGGTAGGTAACCATCCAATCCCCAGTGTGGTCGGCTCTTCCGACAAACTTTGCGCACTAAGAATAGCTTATGTACCTTAATCTCGACTGGGGAACACACTATCATCTTACACTTCATGGACGTGCAACACTGCGACTAAGTATCCATAGACTGGTAACACAATCGTGAAACATCGTCACGCCAGAATAGTTGATCTCGTTTACCCTATCGACGGATTTCTATCAGCAATGTTTGTCCGTTGTGTTTCAAGCTAATGATCTTAGGCGGTTCGTTGAACCAGAACATGAATGTAGCGCGAGACTCCAGCGCCCAAACGGAGCCCCGTCCATCCCGTACTCTCTGTATGGTGAACGTAAGGGACGGCTGTAACAATTAGCTAACAACACACGTACGTCAGAGCATTGTGATTCTTAGCATTCTCACAGGGTCTCGCTGAATAACTAAACTCACATATTTGCTATTATAAACTTTGAGATTAGACGTGTTCATACAACAATTTGACTTCACAAAAACACCTGTTCATAACCGCGATGTCACCAATAGGCGTGTCTTTCGGATATAAAACTATTTGAATAATACACATTCTAAATCTCTTTCATTGATCTTTGTGAAAGGGGGACAATTTGTTGGACCGAAATAGCTTGCCAGCATAGGCAGCAATTAGACATATCAATACATTATAGGACCTTTCACGTTTCCAAACGCAAAGAACAAAACAGACAATCTTCAAAAAGCCTATTGTCGTATATACATAGCCACTAGTATTCCTAATATATGTGTTTAAGAAAAATAACACCAATCCTGACCATCATTTCACAATCGAACTCGTATTTGACAAACCATGAAAGTAGGACACGCGAACGTAACTTTGGAAGTTGTGGTTGTCTCACGTGTACATTATATACAGACGGTTCCCAGTCTAATTACGGACCGGCGTGTAAAATATGCACTGTAGGGAGTATTCGCACCTGTGTCGTTAATCTTGGTGATTCATTCGGACCTGCCAGTCTGCGGAATGACTCGCCCGCCATACCAGCTTCTCTGGGCATCACACACTCGGGTGTCTGTCATCCTTCTTACTTTCACTCACTCCAAAAATAACGCCCACGACTATTTCTGGTCACGTGAGTACAACGGCGAGCTATTTTGTTTAATGGATAGACAGTGATTTCAGTTGGTTTGCTTTGTGCTCGCCACAGTTAATAGTAACTGGACCGTGACCTCGTCCTGCCAGCAATAATAAAACAAGTTGCTGTCCTTGAGCACTCCTCCTCTCTTCATTTACGTGTGAACTGCTAGTTTCTACAAACACATTCCGATGATACCCAATATTAGTTTGTACCGATTCGCGTTGGTATGGGCGCAACGTTAGCCATACGTTGGGTCACGATACGGGATTGCGTGAGTTACAATTTAACGTCGCATCGGCATTATTTCAGCCATGAAGCGACGAGAACACGTTGATATATAATGAATATAGCCATGAATAGAAAGATATATTTAAAACATCACGATCCGATAATCGTGTGGTAAGAGGTGTGTGTGTGTGTGTGTGTGTGTGTGTGCTCGTCAGGACTAATTCCGATTATACAGTGCTTGCCCAATGAGATACCATGCCACAGTGCATCATGAATAGTGAGTGAATATGGTTTTACGACGCTTTTAGCAATATTACGGCGGGGGACACCACAAATGGGTTTCACACATTGTACCCATGTCGGGAATCGAACCCGGGTCTTCGGCGTGACGAGCGAACGCTTTAACCACTAGGCTACCTGATCGCTCCTGTAACACGAATACTCCCACTTAGACACAGTATACTGACTCCGAACTGACCAGTCCTTTTGCCCCTTTAATAAATAAAGCCTTGAAGGGTAGCGCGGTCGTGGAATCGAACCCCGGACCTCCGGGCGGACGCTCTACCACTAGATCACGGAGGCGGTCTGGTGTGGTAAGACTACTATACGAAGGACACACTTACACGGCTTGAAAACGAACGGCAAAATCTCTCATGACGGTATGTCCATGAACTCTCAAGCCATTAAGTAAATAGTTTATGTGAGTCAAGTTTCCAGTTTTCGTATATAAATAGTGACTATGGTACCCGCCAACTTTATTTCTCTTCTAAACCATACTGTACATGCATGTTGGATGAGGGCAAGACGCCAACAGCGAGTCCCCTCTATCGGCGAGTCTTTCGTTCGTACTACTCCCTCGGGCTGACTTACGTCAGACGTAACGCTAAGAGATTGCGCAATTCCCCACACGCATGCCGTACGCTATTTGGCTATTGGGGTTACGATATCCACACAGCTGGACCTGGTTTCCCTAATATTTCCGCCAGTCAATAACATGTTGCAAGTCTGTATCAAAGAACGGGAATTACGAGCACCCTTTTCACAGACCTCCAGGTGCGACTCCACTCCGTTCGAGGTACGACTGTCGGAACCTCCATAATATAGCATGGAGTTAGTCCTCGCTACTTGAAATAGAATCACGAAAACCCGCGATGATTAATTAACGAAGATAGCGGCATGTGGGCTAATGCTATAAAGTTAAACAAGCCATTCCGCCGTTAAGGAGTACGACTTACAGTAATGACGAAATATGCAAAGTGCACCTTTCAAGAAATGTTAATTTTGCTAGCGATAAACAATCTTTGAGCTTTGACCACGCGGTTACAATCGGCTGTCAGATATCTTCGTGAATTAATCATCGCGATGTTTCGTGATTTTTTGTGTTTGTTTGTTGTTTAACGCCGCACTCAGCAATATTCCAGCTATATGACGGCGATCTGTGAATAATCGAGTCTGGATCAGACAGTCCAGTGATTGAAAACATGAGCATCGATCCACGCAATTGGGATACGATGACATGCATCAACCAAGCCAGCGAGACTGACCATCCGATCCCGTTAGTCGCCTCTTACCACAAGCATAATCGCCTTTTACGGCAAGCATGGGTTGCTGAAGACCTATTCTACCCCGGATCTTCACGGGTCGTTTCGTGATTCTATTTCAAGTGTCGATGACTACAGTTCGCCATGTGCCGCAAAGTGAAGTACTCACTGATATATGTACATGGATTTGGCCCTTCACCGTTATAATACAAATCTTTAGTCCATGACTCGTTAGCCTTATACGTGAACATTCCTTTGATGCGTATAGAGTAAAGGTCACTCCAAACAATCTAGCCTCAGACGCCACGAACTATGAAACTATTCGTTGGTCTTATGACTAAAACCAAAGACAGATTGTCCATAGCTTGTGTTGTATTTACCCCAGATCCGCAAAATAAGAACAATATGAGAGTATGTCACGTCGTCCCGTTACTCGTGCGGCTAACAGTGTGATCATGGGTCAATGGCTGCAATACTGCCAATGCGCGGTACATTGTAACTCTCTCTCTCTCAGGGTTCGATGACACACTGAAGCAGCCACCAAGAAGGTGATATTCTGGAGGAACCAGTCGAACACAGAGCTGTCGTAGTGGCACTGCAGTCAACTCCAGTACCTCATAACAAATTTACAACACCCCAAGGACCTGATCAATTTACATGGAGTAAGAGGGCGCTGTTTCACGCATCACACAAACCACACTATTACGATTACATCAACGCGACCCGTGAAGATCCGGGGTAGAAAAGGTCTTCAGCAACCCATGCTTGCCCTAAAACCCATGCTTGCGACTATGCTTGTCGTAAGAGGTGACTAACGGGATCGGGTGGTCAGGCTTGCTGACTTGGTTGAGGCATGTCATCGTATCCCACTTGCGTGAATCGATGTTCATGATATCAATCAGTGGATTGTCTGGTCCAGACTCGATTATCTACAGACCGCCGTCATATAGCTGGAATATTGATGAGTGCGGCGTTAAATAACTGGGACTCACCCATACTTTGACGTCATTGTTACTTCTCCCCATATCTTCGTGTCCAGGCCCATCGTTCATATCAAGAACGCCCCATTACCCATTAAGCAATCATGACTTGACTTCTGACCCCTTTCAAGATAAATCGCAATAAAAGTCAAACTGGAGATTTAAATTCAACTAAGGCCTCCTTAAGTTTCCGGGAACGGGACAACTGTTTACAAACGTACAAACCTGGGACAGTATCTGTCTTGTTCAACAGAGATGGGTTAGCTTTGCCTGTACAGAAAAGATCACCATCCCCCAAATAAATGTCTACTTGTATGCGACCTTCACCATTGTTAGTTTTTTTCATGACCTACACAGTGTTCACGGGGACATTAAAATGGTTAAATATCATGAGATTTAAACGGATGGATAACCAATAGTTAACACTCGAATTTATCAAGTTCCCAGATATGTGTGTATTTTTGTCAGAACGCATTCCTAAACTTGCTAAATAGAGAGATAGAGCTCCCGGTTCACAAAGCGACACGACCCTCTTAACTCCTGTATGGGATCACATAAGCTTAAAGGTCCCAATCAGATACACACTGAACACTATCTAATGCCAACTCAACATACATACACCTTCGTACACCATCTCTGGGACCCATTGAGCCAACCTCAGCCCCAAAGAGGGGTGCGTGAGACAGGTCTTCAAACACATGCATGCCAATTGTCTTATACCCATGTACCTGACAAAACGCCAGTGCATGCAGCAAGATTTCTTTTCTTGGTTTGCTTGTTTAACGCCGCACTCAGCAATATTCCAGCTATATGACGGCG